TGAATAAGGAAAGGCAAAGAAGAGTTCATGCTTTGAATGATGGTGTTTGTGATTAATAATAAATATCCCATGGACTTCCAGAAGAACAAATAAATCTGTCTTAGAAGAAGTACAGCCAAAATGCCCCTTAGTATCCACCCTTATACTTGCCCATGCCTACCTTTTGTTAGGGATCTTTCTTTTCACATAGAACTTTGAATTACTTTCTAGTGCTGCTTTTTTCTCTTATCTACCGAATTCCCAATTAGTATAGTTTATAGTTTTTTGTTTTGTTTTGCTTTTGTAGAAATAAGGCCGTCAGGACTCCGGCTCGTGTACTTTAGGCATGTTATCAGGAAGCTAAATCCCTGGAGAAAGATAGCATGCTTGACAACGGGGATGATCGGTGAGCAAGAAGACGGACCCTATGTGAGATAGACACAGTAGCTGTCACGATGGTTTCACACACAGCCCTTGTGAGGAGGAAGTCGGAATGGGCAGTGTTCTGTTTTGTTGTCCCTGGGGTCACTTTAAGTCAGGACTAACTTAAAGTTAATGGCACCTAAGAACAATACAGCATTGTTACAATCACAGATATGGAAGGGAAATAAGAGTGGTTGCATAAGAGACCTAATACCTGGATCATGAGAATTCCAGGTGGGGGTGAAAGATCAGAAGGAACAGAAATAATTTGAAGAAAGAATGACAGCCAATTTTCACAACCTAATGACATTAATGTACAAACCCATGAACTCACACAATTCTACACAGAATGAAACGAAAGATAACTACAGCAATATGCATTATGGTGAGTCTCTGAAAAATTAAAGATGAGAGAAATCAGAAAACAGTGAGAGAAAAGCAATGAGTCACATACAAAGACTCCTCGATAGGATTAATTGCCAATTTTTCTCCCAAAATGTTGGAGGCCAGAAAGATAAATATTAAGATCTTGAAAGGTAAAAGAGCAAATGAGGGTGTACCTGAGAGGTGTTATACCATTGGAGGTCACCCTCTAGAAGTTGCGTTGTATGTTTTCCTGTGTTTTGGTATGTGAAGCCCAAGACTGAGGAACCAAAGGGACAAGTGGCATAAGGTTTTCGGGAGACTTCTGGGAAGATGGCGCCCATTTAGAATCACCCGTTCTGGGCTCCCATTGTTAGATCAGGAAATCAAGAGAATGTGACTGCCAGCTGGAGAACCAGAGCCGGCCAGAGACTCATGAACAGGCCAGAGAGCTGGAGTAGGCTGGCGATCCATGAGCAGGCTGGAGATCCATGAGCAGGCAGGAGATCCATGAGAGCAGGTTGGAGATCCAGAGCAGGCCGGAGATCCATGAGAGCAGGCCAGAGAGCGGGAGTAGGCTGGAGATCCATGAGAGCAGGTTGGAGATCCAGAGCAGGCCGGAGATCCGGCACAGAGCTCTTGTCTTCTCTTTGCTGTGGATACTAAGCTAAGTCAGTTTCCAAGGACATCTTCAACCCATGGCAGCAAGGTGGTCAAACTGCCCTCCCTCAAATCCCCTTGCAACCCCAAGCATCAGAATTATCCTTGATGGTAGGGGGAGAGAGGAGAAGAAGAGGAAGAGGAGAAAGGGGGAGCTGATAGCATTGATTACTATATAACTCCACTCAAGGAGAGTGAATAACAGAATTGTATGTCAATTGATATATTGAATGGTGTAAGAAACGACAAATAAATGCATAAATAAGAGTTCCTGAGGGACAGGGTGGGGGAGGGAGGGGATTAAAAAAAAAAGGAGTTGATAGCAAGGAGTTTAAGAAAAAAGAATATGTTTTGAAACTAACTGGGGTAGCATTTGTACAATACTGCTTGATATGATTGAACTATGGAATGTTATGATGTCTGTAAGAGTTCCCAATAAAAGGATTTTTTAAAAAAAGAAGAAGAAGGGTTTCAGGCAGGGTGGGAGAGATGTGGGGAGCCCCCGCGGGGGTGTGAACAGAGGTTGGGGGAAGGGAAGAAAGATGATGTCCAGGAGTCCAGGAAGAAAATGAATGTTGGAAACTGATTGTAGTAGCAATTGTACACTTCTGCTGGATGTGCTTGAACTATAGAATGATATAATATGTGTATTAACTCCCAATTAATAATATATTGTTTTAAAGATTGAGGGTGAATTAAAACCTTCCCAGAGAAAGAGAAGCTGAGAGAGTTTATATACACTAGATTAGCCGACCAAAAATACTAACGGGAGGTTTGTAGATGGAAAGGAAGACAGTAGGAAGCAATTCAGAGCTATACCTACAGAGAAGGGCTAGTCATAAGGTCATGAAGCCCCTGAAACTATTGCTCTGGGATCATGTCTAAACCTTAAACCAGTAATATCCCCCGAAAGCATCTTAAAACCAAATAATTATTTTGGTAAACTAATAAATAATGACTGCCTTGAGCATTGTGCTCTTTTTAGAATGATCTGTGTGGGACCATATTGACAATGACATGTAAAGATTAGCTAGGAACCTTGTAGGCAGTGAAAGTATGCTAACCAGGGAGGAACCACTCAGAAAAGGAAGCTGCACATGGTTGCACAACCCCCAGAATGCAATCAATGTCCTTAACTGGTGTATGTGGAAATGGTTGCATTGGTGTATACTTTGCTGTGTAGATTCTTAACAGCAATAGTTTTTAAATTTAATAAAAAAGAAATTTCTATGGAGTAAGTGCAGCTTTAAACACATGGGGTCACCCAATCTGGATTGATTAGATGACAAATGGCAATGATGATGATGATGATGATGATGATGGTGGTGGTGGTGGTGGTGGTGATGATGATGGTGGTGGTGATGAACTTGTTCTGTGTATCCACTAAATGCTTATTGAATGAGCAAATGAATTGATCAATCTCTTTTAAGTCTAATTATGTTGAACACAATTTGACCTTTCTTTTAAGATTTGAAATAATCCCTGCAGGTACACAATGTAGCAAAATATAGATTGAGATCTCTGCACTTGCTTGAATGACAAATGACTGAGCTAGTACCCTGCTTCTCGCCCCTCCCCCTTTGGGAGCTCCCTAATGATCCTTTCATGTCTTGTGCTAGTCATCCAGGTCCCATTTTATTGACATCTTCTTTGGACTATTGCAGTCTTTGATTTATTCTTTTGTTAGCTTAATTAAATTACCATTGCTGATCAGTTAACACTGACGTGTTTTTATTTCTCCGTCTAGAAAATTACCTTTTCTGTTATGTACAAGGATTGCCTGTCCGATTTTTCTCTATCTAGACATTCAGTAAATGCATTTTGATTTGTTGATACTGAGTTTTGCTTTGTTATCGATTGGTTCCATTTTCCCTTTGATTCAACACAGAGAGAGGTAACTACCACAACAAAGAACACATTACAATATTGCTACATACCTTGTGAAAGAAAGCTATTTTCTCAGGCTTAACACTATATATTATCTCCACGTGGCCTCCGAAGGATTTGTGAATGCAGCACATACAGTTGTGGGGGGAGAGGGGGAGTTTCTTTGGAGGAAATAAAGCAAAGACAAAAGTGTCAAAATTGAAACTGAGAAAGTTCTGTTTGTTACCTGTAAAGCTTGACAGATATTCAAATGTTTTTCATCGAACCATTCACTAAAGTCCAATTTTGTTCTGAAACAGATGATTGAGAATTCAAAACATTTGAACCAAGTAGAACAATTCTGTTTTCTTAGGAACCAGAACAATGAAAGCTGTCACTCCTGGATGAGAGTTTTTATTTTTTAATTATGTTCTCCTCCCTTATTTTCTTGGTAAGAGATTTCTGGTTGCAGTTTTCAGTCGAGAAGCCTACCTTTTGAGAAAATCGGCAGGTATATCCAGTTAATAGAGTCTATCAGGGAGGGGAAGCGCAGGTTTGAAGCTAGTTACCTGAACAAACGAAGAAGAGGTACCTTTTCAGTCAGAGGTACCTTGCTTTCTGAGACTGCTCATGGTTAATTACGTTAGTGGCACTTGACATTATGAAATGATCCATCATAACCTTCTTCATCATTACTAAACATCAACTATAATGAAGTGTTTCTCTGACTTCTCTTTCCTCCTGATTTCCTGGAAGAAAATGCTAATGAGTGTATAATTCTGAAATCATTGTAACTAACCAGTGTCAATGCACAGTCAAGGTGGGGTCTATTAATTTTGTTATATTTGTCATGCCTCCCTAGGTTATGGAGAAAACAGAAATTTCCTCTTTATGTTTGTTACCTCATTTCCTTGATCTGCTGTGACTTTTTATTCTTAATAAGCTTTTAAGTGACAAAAACCTCCAACTAGCTTGTGTTTCTGGTATTAAATCCAAATAAGGTTGAAGATTGTGCCCTTTGTTGCAACTTATATACAATTTGAAGGCAAAACCTTTAAGCATTCAACTGTTAGATGAAGTCTTGGCAGTTCAAGTTCTCCCTCTCCCTCCCAGCCTCCTCAGGAGAGTAGAAAGACTATAGGGTTCCCAACGCCATAAATTGTCCCTGTTACACAGTGGCTGGTGGATTGGGCTCACAGACCTTTTAGTTCAAAGCTAAGCGTTTTAACCAAGGTGCCATCAACACTCCCCCTGCCCCAGCCTTGGCCCCAGACTGATCCCGACTCAAGGAGTTCCCACGTGTATCAGAGCAGAACTGTGCGCCACATGTTTTCAATGACTGGTTTTTCAGAAGTAAAATGCCAAGCCCTCCTTGCTTCTCAGGTGCCTCTGGGCAGATTGAAGTCACCCACTTTCAATTAGCAGTGAACAAGTTGACCTATATCAACCAAGGACTGTTAGATGTGACTTAATGGGAGTGAACATAACTATGAGAAACTTTGAGCTAGACCTTTATCCAAAAACATTTTTTCCCAATATTGCAAAGCCACCATCTGAAAGTCTTTAGGAAGAACCATGACTGAATAAGATACGGAATTATGTTTTGCAAGGATGTTTTAAAATGTGTGCTGTGACTTTTCTGGATCATGAATCGCTTCCCACAAGATGTATTGCCTTATGTTTGAGAGCTTATTATTGTTATTTTTTAGGACACAGCAGGCCAGGAGAGATACAGGACCATCACCACAGCCTATTACCGTGGGGCCATGGGCTTTATTTTAATGTACGACATCACAAACGAAGAGTCCTTCACTGCGGTGCAGGATTGGTGAGTAAGAGCAAACCCTGACATTACACATTACATTGATGGTCTTCCCTTTGGGTTCTCTTCTTCCCCCACAGCAATTACCCTATTGCCAGGCAATGTGTGTATTTATTATACTCTGCAGGCCCACTTGTCCTGCATAAAACAAACACATGCTCATTATGCTTAGAACCATTATGTAGTGATTGATGACAAATCATTTTGTGATTTCCCCCTCTACGTTTTGTCAGTTCTGTGCTTTGCATCCTGTCAGCCTTTACTCCGTGGAGAGTAGAGCACTGCTTCTGAATTTTTAACTGCAAATAATGAATAGCTGAGAAATGTACTCGTGTGGAATAAACAACACACTACAGCCCATGGGCCAAGTCCCACCTGTAGGCCAAATTCGGCATGCCGTCTGTTTCTGTAACTACAGTGTTATTAAAACATAAGTACCCTTTTCTGTATGCCTGCTGTTGTTATCTGTGGCTGATTTCACCCTGAAATGGCAGAATTGCGTCCTTGCAATAGAGACCATAGTGCTTGCAAAGCACAACCTACTTACGCTCTGGCCCTTTACAGGAAAAGGTTGCTGACCTCTGGTCTAGAACAGTTGTTAAATGGGTTCTTCAGGATGAAAAACTTCCAAGGGCTGGGCTGAAGGAAAAGATAAAACCCAAATCCTTTCTGACTCTTGCCACAAGAA